GAACCTGATGGCTGTGTCATTAAGGCTGGTGATGGCACACTGGAGATCTGGAGAGGCTGGCACAGGTCTGGTTGTGACTGGGTCTGGGAAGGGCTGGGGAGACGGGTTCGAGCTGTGACATCGTTTCTTGCGTATCTTCTGATCGTTCCTTGTTGAAATCACAATCGAAATCTGATGGTATAGAAGGAGGTTCACCCAGCACCGGATGAGGACGGCACCCAGTGACAGAATCCGCCCAGAACGAGGGTGCCCAAACCAGACCCGGGGAATACTGACCAGACCAGTAAGACTGACGTTTTACACTTCCAGCTGACCAGGAGAGGTGCTCATGGGGGCAGTCCACATGGATTTAGAAGCACAGGTCTTTGCGAACAAGTACAGCAGGAAGGCAGAGACACAGCCCGCAGACATCAGGAGAGAACCGCTGAGCCTGAAGCAGCTGCTCCTGAGAGAGACTGAGGGCTCTGTGTGGCTCCGTCTTCCAGACACAGTGGGGGACAGAGAGAAGAGAAACCGGGGCGTGGTGCTGTGTGACGGGTGTACAGGGCTCTAGCACTGGGGACAGTAACGAGTGCTGAGGGGCCGGTGATACACAGGGGCGTGTGTTGAAATCTGAGAACCGGAGGCGCTTCTTTACACAAAGAGTGGTGGGTGTCTGGAACAGGCCATGATGCTGAAGCCGGTGCTCTGACTCCTTTAAGAAACAGCAGGATGAGATCTCTGGTTCAATTAGCCACTTTTCACCAAACGAGCCAGTGGGGCTGACAGGTCTCCTCTCACCTGTGGCCTGTCTCAGCCTTGTGCTGTCCGAGAGGAGGGGAAGGAGAAAGCAGGAGAGGACAGAGGACGCAGACTGACGCCATTTTATTTTCTCTTATCGCAAGGGAGCAGGCACAGCTATGTGCCAGCGATCACGTACCCAGCATGGTGCCACCCTCACCCTCCCACTGGGCACACTCACTGACCCCCCGCTGACCCCAGAACGACCTCCCTGTGAACCCGCCCCGCCACTGAGCTCACCACCGGGGACTCGCTGGCAGCACACTTCCTGAGACTGGCACAGCACACACACACTGCACGGCACACAACCCCCTGTTACACACACACACACTGCACTGCACACAACCCCCTGTTACACACACACACTGCACGGCACACAACCCCCTGTTACACACACGTCACACCCCAGTCATACACACAGTCTCTCCTGTCTGCCTCTCTGCCTCTCTGTTTCTCCTGTCTCTCTCTCTCTGTCTCTCCTGTCTCTCACTGTCTCTCTCTCTGTCTTTCATGTCTCTCTCTCTCTGCCTCTCCTGTCACTCTCTCTCTGTCTCGCCTCCTCTCTCTCTCTGTCTCTCCTGTCTCTCTCCTGTCTCTCTCTCCTGTCTCTCTCTCCTGTCTCTCTCCTGTCTCTCTCTCTCTGTCTCTCCTCCTCTCTCTGTCTCTCCTGTCTCTCCTGTCTCTCTCCTGTCTCTCTCTCTGTCTCTCCTGTCTCTCTCTCTGTCTCTCCTGTCTCTCTCTCTCTGTCTCTCTCCTGTCTCTCTCTCTCTCTGTCTCTTCTCCTCTCTCTCTCTCTCCCCCTGTCTCCCCCTGTCTCTCTCCTGTCTCTCCTGTCTCTCTCTCTGTCTCTCCTCCTCTCTCTGTCTCTCCTGTCTCTCTCCTGTCTCTCTCTCTGTCTCTCCTCCTCTCTCTGTCTCTCCTGTCTCTCTCTCTCTGTCTCTCTCCTGTCTCTCTCTCTCTCTCTGTCTCTCCTCCTCTCTCTCTCTCCCCCTGTCTCCCCCTGTCTCTCTCTCTGTCTCTCTCTCTGTCTCTCCTCTGTCTCTCCTGTCTCTCTCCAGTCTCTCTATCTGTCTCTCCTGTCTCTCTCTGTCTCTCCTCCTCTCTCTGTCTCTCCTGTCTCTCTCCTGTCCCTGTCTCTCTCTCTCTCTCTCTGTCTCTCCTCTCTCTCTCTCTCTCCCCCTGTCTCCCCCTGTCTCTCTCTCTGTCTCTCAGAGAGAGCCCATGCCCTCAGCTTGCAGAGTGATTACTGCACTCCTCCCTCCCCTGCTGTCCTGAACTCACCGGCCCGCGGGAGTCTAATTGAGCCCAGATGTTGGCATGTCCAGCCACGAGGAAGTGGAGCAGCCGGCTCACACACAAACACCCGAGAACAAAGCTGCACTGCTCAGAGATCCCTGATCAGCGCTGACCCAGACCCAGACCCACCACACCCCAGAACAGCTCAGCCCTCTCATTCTCCACACACTTCCCCTGTCAGCCTTTCATTGTGCACACTGCCTCCTGCCTCTTACTGATTAGAGTAACTACTGAACACTGATGGACCGCTGACACACTGATGGACCACTGACTGCTGACCGATACACT